ATGGAACCGACCCTCGAATCTCTTCACCCAACACTTTCATTCGAAATGGAAGTAAGCTCAACAATTATGAAACAAGATATTCCTCGAAACCCAACTTTTCTTCGCATATATTGGTAGCCTTGTTTCAAGCCTTATTAATGAATTAATTGTCAAGTTGTTTATTTCTCTTTTCCTATACATTTGTAGAATCATTTCATGTAGAGTTCCACTGATTTGCTTGGCTAAATCTTTCTGTAATTAATAATATGTGGTTCGGACTCCTATAAAACTCCAATAGTCTAGGTAGGGTATTTTCTGTCCAATATCACTGTACCTCCTTTTATCCGTTTGAAGGACTAATTGGTCATTCCTTTGCAGAGTTATGCACATTCTCGTCAATCTGCTCCTGTTCGTGGGCTACTAATTTTTCAAGAATCTCGGAATTACCTTTAACTACATTTCCGTTTTGTCTCCCTTGGGGATTTGTCAAAGATATTTATGGTCTCCACAAGAATGTCTTACAGAACATTTATTTCAATTTGGAACGAATGGATTAATCCTTTTTTCAGAGATAAGGGGTGGGGAGATGTACGAGGGCAGAAGAAGAGATACCATGATCGGTCATCACAAACTTGAATAAATAATGAACCTCCCTTGTCTGTGACGAGTTGTGATTTGCTGTAAGTACTGACAAGGCTCACTAACATTGCCGGCTATGATGCAGCCGAAGCGTCTGGAAATGTACCTGGTTCATCGTGCAAAGCCGTATATTACCATGACTACTATGGCAAAGGACTTCGGACAAAATAGGCTCATATAAGTCACCTAAAGAACAGGACGGAGTTGCAAAAGTCTGGTCAAACCTGATAAAGAATGAAAAAGAGTCTGGGAAATTCGATTCTTAATGTAAGCCATAATTTTGGACAGGAACATACGAATAGGATCTAGCAGTGCTTTCGAAACCCACTCAATAAGAATATAATAAAAATATGAGGCTCACCTTGTTCCTCTGGTCGAGGAGTTAGACCAGCCTATCTGCTGCTTATAAAGTCCTAGGTTCGATCTGCTTTATAATAGTATGTAATAAATCCTGCTCCGTTGACATTCAGACTGATTCCCAATATTCCTCAGCTATATCCACAACTAGACGGTTTAAAGAGCATCCTGTTCGAAATCCACATGGCCAGCAGTGCAATAATTAAGTATCCCAGTGTTCAAGATCCAGCTGGACTAGTAACTTAGACTCCATTCAGACATGATAGGAGCGAAGGCCGATAATACATGCGTTTTTGATGGCACTAAGCTGATTCCCAATGATGAGGTGGGCTGGATCACTCACCACACAAGAGGTCAACGCCGGGCCAAATCCATTGGCGGTGGGATTGAAGCCCCATCTTTCAAGGGACCGGTGCTACCGGTGAGTAGACTACTGCAGTGGCTTGTCAGTGTGTTTAGTCATCCGATGGGAATGCAGGCTAGTTGGATCGGCCAATGATGCATGTGCGCTCACAATAAACCCAGAAGTATAAGCGGGCAGACGAAAAAGGGCGAGGAGTGAAAGAGTGAGATGGGAGGAGGAAGAGAGCGCGATCGCATATTGACGAGGCGACCTCATACTGGCGTGACATAGTAACCTATCTAGTCTCTTTCTCGTCTCTATCGCCACTGCGCACGAGGCTGTTTCAATCGTTCTTCCATGCCTGCGTGTCTTATAGAACATTGGTTCTCTTACGAGCTAACGTCTGGTGCATGAGGCTGCATATAAATACCCAAGACTACCTACATGCACGCGCACAAACACAGACACACGGAAAATATATGCATAAAGGTGTGTATTTACATACAAGTGCTCACTCAAGTCTGCTATACTCAGCAATTGATAAGGAAATACGACTTGCCCACTGGCCTCTCTTTAGAGGCGATGACAAACTGGCACACTGACAAATGGATACAATGGCAAGCTGCAATAGCGACAAATAAACGTTGGCAGACTGACATAGACAACACTACAGACGACTGAATAAGCGAGTTTGTCCCACAATGATTCGAGTAGGCATCATGATGCCATTAAACTTCAGTTGGCTTTGTCAACCATAAGTTTTTCTCACACAGCCTCGAATGCAGTTTTGATGCTTTGCGTCAACACCCCGACGGGAATCGAAACCGTGCCTATACGTCACACCTCCACTAACCAGCCGCGGGTGTCAGTGGATAACAAAGCTTATGTGAATTTCGAGGCCAGCCAGGCCTCTTCCAACTCAAATTTATTGTGAGAGATGAAGGACTGGTAGAAGAATTTTCCCACATTGACATTAGTAGAGCTGACGTTTCCATTTACTTCCACATAGCCTTGCTTTCCCAAAAGTTGTTCTCATTCAGGGTGGACTGCAGTTTCGACCCCGCATAGGCCTTATCAACAACCCCAGCAGGAATCGGACCGCGACAGTGCAGAATGGGAGATTGACACGTTAACCACTCGGCCACATTGCCACGAGTGTCCCTGTGTCACGCGGCCGATGTGAATCTCAAGGAAGGCCAGGCCTTTTCATATATCACATTCTTTGGTTGGATTGCAGATGAAGCAAACTTATTTTGCTATAACAATCGACTACATTACTTAATTTCCGTATATAAGTAGAGTTACGAGACTACCAGTAAATCAGTTAGATGACATGTATTCACTCTATTTTGTTGAAGGTGATGAAGGTTACTGGTAGTCTGAAAATTCTACTTCCGTACGAAAAATAAGAAACGGTTCGACTCCGTGCCTATACGTCACCTTTCCACTAAACAGCCACAGGTATCAGTGGGTAACAGGGTAGATTTTAATTTCGAGGCCAGCCAACTCAGTGAGACAAATTTGCAACCGTCATTATAATCTCCGATTGAATCTCTTTTCAAAGAGAGTAGCTTTCAAAACTATCAATAATTTAATAATCCGAACTTGGTTACTCGTGTTCGCGTAAGAGGAGGATTTAAAGATCAATATGAGCTTTACTATAAATTATATGACTATATATATATATATATATGTGTGTATATATATATACTTAAATCCCCTAAATTGGCCTGGGCTGGCTAATCTCTTATTCACGAATTTCGCAAGTCGATGAATGTCTGAAGTTAGTGATAGGACATGTGCAGGCAGATGGATGAGTGCCCAGGTCACTATGACAACTCTTAAAGGTAAATATTGGAGCTCACGAGGCCAAATGACTCAAGCCATACAATCGTAAATAAGACTAAAAGAAGGATTAGGCTTCAGGTCGGATTGCTACCTCTTTTAGGTGTAGTGATTTGATATGATCTCGTTGTCTCCACTTGGTTGGGGTGATAAGGCGACCTTGCAGAACGTACCCAGTTATACTCCCTCTGCCATAGTAGTCATGATAAGTTCCGGTATCGGATCGTTCGCGTGGTACATTCATAGACGTTCTGAAGCTTATTATGCTGGTGATAAATCAGGTAATGTTCCAAGTCTCTGGTAAAATACTTTGAACTTAGCATGATTACTACCACACAGAAGGCAGGACTATGATGACTCACAGTCGCCAGGATCAAGTTGCGAACACAAGAACAGATTGATTAAGCATAAAATAAGGGTATATTTTCAACCAAATATAGTCTACGTATTTTATGAACCCAAAGAAAATGCTTTTAGTAAATCAAGAGAAGACGTTCTTACTGATTCTAGTCAGCTCAAGGAAACAACTACAATTTAGAGGGCTGACGGTCACAGCACTAGAGAAACGGATACTCACAATCGTATCAGAAATTCAACATTATAGCCAAATCTAGTGTAAATAAACACTCGAGAGGAAGCTGACGGCCAGAGATGGACGTCCACAGATTGTTGAGGTTAAAGGAACTGA